ATTAATGCCAATGTTTACTGTACAATTTTGCGTATACATAAATTTAACACGCAGAATTGCAAACACACTTTGTGTATTTCAGTGTGCGATTCTGTTTCAGTTTGTATTTTAAAGAGATGATACGATACGTCTCACATTGTTTGCTAAGGAGTATGCAGTCCTGTAACGCCCGTGTGCTTGTCGATGTGGTTAATTCTCTATCCTAAGACTTGATAGCGCTCTTCCTACGGCGGGTTGGACACGCCAATCACTCGCTCTATCTCACACATACACTTGTAGTACACATACACTCGATAAGAACTCAACTCACGTCTCACTTGATGCATGGCGTTTGATGCGTATACACATATTACAGAGCTTTGGACTGCCACTGCTGGTGTTGGGGGGAGGCGGCTACACAATCCGCAACGTAGCACGATGCTGGGCATACGAGACGTCTGTGCTACTAGACACCAAGATCAAGTAAGTGCCAACTATGGTGGCAACTAAAAGCAGGAACAAATCCCAGCAAGTAGGGTCAAGTAATATTAGGAATAAAAACAAGTATTTTGTCAGCTATGATGTCACGAAGTATTGGGAATACGATCACGTAAGTGTCAGCCGTGGTGGCAACGATGTACAGTAACAAAGCCCAGTATGTGCCAGCTATGGTGTCCAAAAGCAACAATTACAAGATCAAGTACGTGACTTATAAAACGGTAAAGCAGTATTTGTATGCGATTAACCCGTCGCATGACTTGTTAATCCGTCACATGACTATTTAATCCGTCACATGACTAACGCGTAAGATACAATTTATTGGTACTACAGGGACGATCTGCCGTATAACGACTTCTTCGAATATTACGGTCCCGACTTTAAATTACACACAGAACTCAGTTGTAGTCGAAATAATCAGAACACTAAAACTTACCTTGATGCGGTATGTGCGCTCTGCTTATTTGCGGATGTATGATATTCTTCATTTGCGATTGTTTTGCGATGATAATTGGTTATTGCAGGAGTGCTGTGACAACTTTGATGATGGGCAAATGCGTGCTTGAAAGTGCGCCATCTTTGGGTTCGCAGCTCTGTCGTATTGTACGAGTCTGTCGGCATCCGTGTGCACATGCTCAAACATTTGACAACCACTGACCTCGTTAATACGTTACACATTATCAGATTAAAAACAAAACGCTGGAGAATCTACGTAGTCTTCAGGGAGCACCCAGCGTGCAGATGCACGAGGTGTGTAGATTCGCCGCTCAACTTTGGGTGCCAACTTAAGATCACATGTTTGTTGCAACTTGTCTATGTATGGTGGCGTCTAGTTCATCGATCTAATGATAACTTCAACGTGTTTGTTGGAAATCGTATATGATTCTTCTAGCTTGGAATTTCACCGATTCCAAGATGTATACTTTTTTTTGCTGTAGCATTGCTGTATCGATTAACTCCAGTTATACGGGATATGAATTGTTATATTATTTACAGCTATACGGGATGTAATGTATTATATTGATTCCAATTACACGGGATATAGTGTATTATATTATTTTCAATTATACCGGTTGTGATGATTGTATTAATTCCAATTATACGAGATGTAGTGTATCATATTCTATCATATTCATCCCAATTGTACGAGGTGTCATGTAGAATATTAACTCCAATATTCGAGATGCGATGGATTCTATTAATTCCAATTATACGGGTAGTGTATTATATGCTGCAGCCATACTTACCAAGTCTATCAATACGGTCAATAGGTGCCCCCAGATGCGATGGCAATGGATGACTCGAGGGAGGATGAAGCCGATCCCGACCAACATGAGAGCAGTGACAAACAAAGAGAAACCAATGAGGAGTTCTACGATGGCGACCACGACCAAGACATGCATGAACCCGTGGAGATATTAGGATAGATGTCGCGTGGAATCAGAGTCACGATCATCAGCGTATATGTTGAATAGATTCATGATGGCATATATAGATGTCGAACAAATTCATGATCACAAGCATGGATACCGCAATTTACGGATGTATGGCGTCTAGCACGCGCTACATATCAGTCGTACAGGATTTTATCACTTGTTTAGTACAAAGATTGAACGGCGCGTGTACGATAATTGTTTGCTGAGGCGATGATCTGTGCTTTGAAGAAACAGAATATATAAAATGTAACGACAAAAGATGGCCAATTAAATTTACATTAAGCACATGTTTGTAAGAATCTATTCCAAGCCTTCTCATCCACCGGGGCAGTATCTTGTGATGTGTCTTCCGAGTACAACAATCACCACGTGTACAAACTTCGTATAGTGCGTTTGTAGTATCTCTGGAGTGTTTGTGATATCGCTTACGAGTCTAACGTGGGGTAATCGCTGTTCAATACTATAAACTGACTCCAAACCGATTGTAGAACACGTTGCTGGAATTTGGACGAATATGGGTAAACTGATGGTAGAGCAAAGTACTCAGATGACTGAGTGTGGACAGTAGAAAACATATTCTTGATTCTCGGGAGTGGTACCATTTCGGATCTGACGACAATTATGTCTTTTCGTTATGTCTTTTCGATCTCGCAGGGTGTTTGAAGAATCTATATATCTTAGAGTGGTGGTGCTGTACTTCTCTTGAGCAACCGAGGTGGGCTATTGACCGTGTTCTCTGAATAGTATTGCAACCTGCCCAGAGACGCCCGCCTTTTGCAATTATCACGCAATAACAGGTTCAACGCAGGTCTTACTATATAGCTGTCTGCTTTTTTGTCCTATATATATATATATATATATTAATAATAATAATAATTTAAAGAGCATGACACATGCCCTATTAGGATAATCGTAGTGGATACTCGTGTAGGTTCTACTCGTGTAGGTTTAACTTGTCAGACACACGAGTTATAGGTAACAACCCCTATGGAAATCTCAAATATCAAGTGTCTACTTGTATGTGGATATAACAACCCCTATGGAAATCTCAAATATCAAATGTCTACTTGTATGTGGATATAACAACCCCTATGGAAATCTCAATTATCAAGTGTCTACTTGTATGTGGATATAACAACCCCTCCATAATTTATAGCGAACAAATGCAGTGTTAAAAGTATAGGGTAGCACTAGCTGGGCACCACGGGTTCATTAGCACTGTAGATCAGGTCTGCGCTCAAAATGTGAAACTATGTACTACCTTGCAGATACTGCAAGCTTTATACTTTGATGCATATTTACTATTGTATCGCGGTACATGTTCGATTTCCAATCCTTCCTGCAAGGGGCGTTAGGACCAGTGGTTGCCACGAAACCTGCGCAGCCACACCGGGTGAGCCAACCCTGCAGCGGAAACCCCAGTGAAGAGCGCCAGATTACTACTACTAACTAGAGCAGTATTGAAATAGAGAGCGAGTGAGTCAGAGAGAGTAGAGGCCCTTGCCGAGGCCGGTATGAAAGAAAAAAAATATTTACCGGTAAATAGTACTCTGCTGTTGATTTGGCGGGCAGTTGATCGAGGCGGTTAATATTTTTTATTGCAAATATTTTTATATAACTTCTATGAGATTACGTGTCTGTATTTTATAAATGTGTACATATTGATATGTATTGATATATATGTATGCTTATGTATGTATATGTTTGCATGTATTTGTATCAGGTGTTGTACTTGGCACGATCTACAAGCACACTACAGTCTACATATGCATACGGCAGAGAATAGCTACTATAGACACGGAAGGGTCTTTCGCTGTATTAAACTACAGTAAACGGAGGTGTACATCGTCTGCTGGACTCAAGTAGTACCATACAACAAGCAAACAGGTGTTACCTCGGCAATTATCTAAGCAACGTTCATTGCATATATATATATAAGGAAGCTATAAGCACAGGACACGCCTAACATAAGCAATCCATACACTTCTGCATAAGATTGGGCAATAAACGTGACACGGGGCATCATGGTGTACCTACGAAGGTATGGCGTGTACGTCTTTCGATGCCACCCGCGTGCGCTGCGTATATTTCTAACATATGCTGTTCTTCTACGTAGTACTACAATTACCTAGAAACTACTTTGCACCGCTCAAGTGTCTGAATCATCCGTCTATATTGATATGTGGAGAGATGTATGGCGTACAGCTGGGATTATTTACCTTGCAATCCATATAATACACATCACACTGGACGACATTTTTCACGTTGCACATGGTATTTTGAACTCTTCTACCAAGATCGTGTGGTGCGTGTGCATAACATCTACTCTCACGTTTGTTATTAATATGTTTCTTTCTATGTTTTTTTTTGTTCTTGGTTTTACTTTCTAAGAGCACCTTATCTCGCCACTGCAACAGCACAATAAGCTCACTCTATCACACTATTGCCTGAAGTGTGAGTCTGTGATACATTCTAACTTATCACGTGATTTTAGCATCATGACGCTGCTATAGAGCTCACTTGATTGACGCACTCGAAAGTGTGCCAGGTGGAACAAGCAATGCGTAAAATGTGTCGCCGCAACAGTTACTCGCACTATAACTGTTTCGGACCGTCACGCACACGTTTTTACTTACATGTGTAGATGTATATAAACTTACCTATAATATTATGCTGACTAATTCTATCGGTATTTAGGATCGTGCTTATTGGCGTTATCGTAAATCCGCCGGCAAATCGCCATTTGAGGCTATAATATTAGGGAAAGTATCATGTTTTAGCTCTGAGCCAAACGTGCACGGTCGTCACGATACGTTGTTCTTCCGAACAAGCGCACGCAAATGATCGGCAGCCGAATAGGAATAGTATTCATATAATAGTTTTAACCTGCTGACAGAGTGGCGGAACAAATACGTAAGGGCTGACTGTGTTACTAAATTATGCAACCATGTTAGGCTTGTGTCGGCCGTTCTGTCAACTCCTACTTACTACGTTTAAAGCTTACCTTCGCTCAATCGATGAACGACTATAAACATTTCTATACCTTTTATCAAACACGTATACGTATAGAACTAGACAACCAGACGAAGTGGGTAGCAGTTCACAGGCCATCAGTCCAGAGGATGGGGCAGAGAACACCGGGACACGCGCTAGCACGCGGGTGCGAAAGCCGCCACAACAGTTCCAGAAGGAACTGCCAACGCAATCGCAGACACAGACTAAAAATACTCAGACACAGGCTAAGAAACAGGTCAACAAGAAGATGACGCAGAATGTCAAGGTGTGTAGGTTTGAGCACTTTCGTGTGGATTGTGTGTGGTTAGTAGTCGACTTGTCGCGGTGCATCACTGTCTGTTCTGTTCGGAAGTGCGGAGAAAGCATACCTAGCAACATCAATACGCTACGCTACGTGCGAGGTATGCTAGTGAGCTGCGTGAGGGAGACGACCGCTTTAAAGGCAGGATTATAGTTATTGTTTTACGAATATATGATATTCTTGTTGGCACGAGAGTATGCGTACATTGCAGTCAAGTAAACAGAGTTTCGAAAAGTATGAAAGCGTTTACCAAGCAGGAACAACGCATATACTGGACCAGCAAGTACCCATATAAATGTAAAAAGTTCGCACACAAAAAAGAGTGCCTATACGACCGTTCTGGCGATTTATAAACATAAAGGCTAGTGTTTGCATGGATTATACACGAAACCAAGTATCGTGCAAATCCAACAACCACACGAAAGACATGTGATTGTGAGAATACATACGCGACTGGCCTTCTTCACGAGAACCATGGTCACACGAAAGTAACAATCATGTAAAAGCATTAACCACGCAACCACGCACAAGCGGAACGCACACGAGAGTAATTGGGATACGGTAGTGGAACAAGCAGAATAGTATCGTGTAATAGTAATGGCCATAAAAAAGACTGCTGAATCGGTAGGGAGTATCAACACAGTAGGAACACGAATGGTACGGTATCAAAAGGGAGGTGTTTGACCTCAATAGTGACAATAAGCACACGGTTGACATGAATCAACCATCGGTCCTATTTCAAATTGGTGACGAGTCCACGCTAGTTATACCTGCATTGATCACGTAGACAAGCAACAGTCAACACACGAAAGTACTCTACAAAGAATGTTCTCAGTGAACACGTAGTACTGAGAGCAGGGATATACCCGGACCCGCCCAACATATGGGGCATGTATATTTTCAGCAGGTTTTATCTTGGCTTGCATGTGGTAAGGGTCATAGTTTAATCGTGTTCTTCAGACCAACCCCGTGAAGATATGTGAAACATTTATTATAATAAGTATCTGGGCTCGAAAGCTGCAAACTCTTCTATGGCCAGTCAAAACCCTGCACTTTGCCAGGTACCTTTTTTCTAACCAATACCACTGTGATGGTGAATTCAGCAGCAGAGCAAACAGTCGCAAAAGAGGACAAAAGCTGCCCAACCCACAAAGAAGAGACAGGGCAAACAGGCCGCACAAACCAACAATGCAATTGATGAGAGTGACTCCAGTGACAAGGAGAACACTGACATCTCTCAACCCCAGGTAGGTGGCGAGAAGATTGTTCTTGTTTAGATGTGGGTGTGAATCAGCGAGAGTCTATGTGCCTCACTATACAAACTGGGGAGCGGCGTTGTGCATGTATACACTCTCAATGAACCAATAGTTGATTATCATTGCACACCAGGATCTTACCCAAATTCGAACTTGCTTTGTCCCAAATCTAATATCTTGTCCAGTCTTTGTAAGATTGAGGTGTTAAATTTTAAATGCGTGTTATACGTGATACAACAAAGTTTGAAGCTTGTCGACATGCACGACAGCACTACCAGCCAGCGTGCACTGCGACGCTTTAGACACAGAAGGGCCATGTAAATAGATAAAGTGGTACATACCTATTCAGATATTCAGTTTACATCAGAACGGTGACAGAACAGTTTTGCACTACATATGAGTTGACAGAGCTACACGAAGGCCTTCGATCAAATGACGCTATACATGTATGCGCAAATACACATTAGCACACACTCCCGCGCATGCACATGTATATTTATATTCACGTGCACATGCACATTTATATTCATATGCACATGTACCTATGCAGCAATATTGGATCGACTTGCCAGTATCGCGATATGTATGGCACGAAAAAAGCACGGAGACTGTGTTGTACTCGTAATATCCTGAAATGACTCACTTGAATACCGCTGGGCAGCGCTTATCAACGACTTGTCGTATGTTCTATCATATGACACTCATCGTATTGCACTCACGCAACGTATCTGCAGAATTCATCAATGCTCAATTCAGACGACAGCGACGGCGATGAAGACTGTAAGTTTCGCCAGTGTCCAACACTCTGACTTCTCATTCTGTGACAAATAGACAGAAATTTAATGTCACCAAGCCTGGCTAACCTTGTATGGATATATTGTTTTAAGCCTTATATCTAAGCTCTCTCATGCTCACGTGTGCCGAACTCCTTAAAGTTACGTTGTATACTCATTGTACCAATTGCAGTTTGTATGCGGTATATGTATGCAAGCGGATATGGCGCCGCAATGGTGTGATCTAGCCAGAATATGTCGAATTTAATAGAGCACGTATGTTTTGAGAACCCGCCTAGCAGCTTCGGAGCGAAATCTTATCGGTTGGTCAGACATGTGGAACTAGCTGAAGTACCATACATTGTTTTGACGCGCACTAGTGACATGCATTTCTACATCACGCAGTATCTCCGCAACCCAAAACAAAGAAGGGAGCAGAAATAGCGCAGGGCCAAGCCAAGCCAAAGAAGGTAGGAAGGCAGAAAATTTTGTCCCGTGACAATGTAATGTACATAAATTGGAGTGACTATTCATGGCATAGTGTGGGATACTGTATGCAGTTCTGTAGTGGACCATACCTCTCCCTTTGGAGGGTGATTTGTTTTTTCACTTTGTATTTCTTCATTCTCGTCTGTGCGCGAAGCTTCTCAGTCATCTGTGTGATCAGAGGGCAGTATATGTGTGCATGCTGTATGTGTCATTATGAGTGTGTCGTTTATCCGATATATGTATACTCTGACTCTCCACAAATCTACAACGAAGCCTGTGGCCATATCATCGGCTCCTTACCGTCTCCGTTTATGTACGAGCGGAGATTTGCGGAAGCTTGAGATGCGTATGTTTAGGTAACGTCTCAATCTGATCATATATTACTGTTAATCTATTCCCGAACTAATTTTTTTTCTTCCTCTCATTAGGTCAGCGGCCAAAGCCAGGCCAAATCGAAGAAGAACGGCGTACACGTGCCTTGCACTTCGCTGCTGATATTCGATCAGCTTAAGACAGGCACTCCCTCCGCACAAGACTTGGTAGATGGATGGATACACCAGTACAAAGACGACAAACAAGCGGCTATGCTGATGTTGATTAATGCACTCCTTCGTGCTTGCGGATGTAAGAGCGAGTTGTCGCTTCAGATATTCCGCTCGGAAGACATGGTGTGTATACCTGGCTGATGTGTATGGCGTTGGTATTATATTAGGGATAGGAGGGATGCGTCTGTCAATTGCTATATACATACTTGTACACTATCGCTAAGTGTTGGATTTTAGTCGCCATTTGTAGCCCAAGCTCGTTGCTGGCTTCGCCCAAACCTTTTCCATTTGCTTGCAGAATTTATACTTTTCGAATCCCACGCACCACCTGTATAACCTGGTTTACCACACCCCCAGGGATGTTTATTGTGTATGTATTTGCAACACGACAGTTCGTGTTTTTCAATATGGCGGGGATCATGTTTTTATACATATCATAGTACAATCATTTTGCATGACAACTCTCACATAATGGTTTCAAACCGAACTTGTGATGTTGAAGTTATGATGGTTTGTAGTAGTCACTCCGATCCCTCAAACGGTAACATCAGAAATTTTCATTCATATACACAGTATAGAATTATCAAGGACGAACAGTTGGATGCAATTTCTAATGCTGTGCTTCCCAAGAGGCTACCGATGGTTGTCACAATTTCTTTAGTGGCCACTTACGCCATCCACCCTTCTTTTCCACCTCCACAGGACGATATTCTGGAGCATCTGCAAGAAGCACTAGGAGACACTATTGCATATCCGCTAATTTCCAAGGTATGTTTTTATAATTAGGTTATGGGTTCCACTAGGCGGATAGCCAAACATGTTATTGCTCACTGCTCACGCGCGCTCGAGATTGCTGCTTCCAACGATTCACCTTGTATTCTAGAAAAGTGTTTGTGAACCGTAGCACATCGCATTGATAACGACACAATATGTTTAATGTCTTAAGTTATATCGTACAAACTATTGGAGTATGACTTATTCACTCTTCTCTCGTACTTCGAAATATTCATTATCAAATAAAGGCACACCGCTCATCCAGTCACCCCTCGCATTCGGTTCCCACAGCAACTCAAACGCTTTGACACGCGACTGAGTGACTTCGTATGCAAGTTGATCACGCGCCTTAGCCCCGATGAGTTATATGATGACTATCTATTGGCGAAACTGTCGCAGTGGCTACTGTTGCTCTCGGGTACTCGGATGCGCGCCTTCCGTCACACAGCCAGTGTGGTCACATTCACGGCCACAGATGCCTTATTAGTGGTGGGTAATATTCACATTCATATATATCTATATACACACACACTCACACATATATATATATATATATGTGTGTGTGTGTGTGTGTGTGTGCACTGTTACCTGTTTCATGAATCCAGATGTACACATGAAAGTCCCTGAATTCGGCTGGTGTTTTGATCATACGGTCTCTCTTCACCGACCGAGGTGATTCTTAATTGCAGTCTCTGTGGTGTGTCGCATTCATACTTTATGATGATGAGTTAGTCCTTTGGATCCGGGCCAAATTGGACTGAATAAGATACTCATAAAGTTTGATGGAAACGACAATTATCTCCAGTATTCTCACGACCGCCGTAATTGTGCACTTGCCCGGAGTCAGTGCGTTAATAGCCCTAAGACGTTAATGGTAGTGAATGAAACTTGTATTCATATCATTCACTGGTGTGTGGGTCGCAATTTTTGAGCATTTGAGGGTGTGATCCATACCTGCGGCTGGGTTGTGAATGCGCATTTTATTGTGCATGCATCTATATCAGAAGTAGCGGACCGTTTGTAGCTGACGCAGTTGTCGCTGATATTTGTGACCGAACTACCTGTTATTGTTGCTGACTGATATACTCTATCCTCTCTATTTTGTGTGCATGTGATGATCGTGTTAATGATTTGACCATTTATTTCGTTCTGTGCAGGTGCGAGCCAAAGTCAACAAAGTGTTAGATGAAAACCAGAGACAACTGGAAACGGAGAACAAAAAGAAAGGCAAAGCAGTTGCCAAAGCAAAGGTGTGTACGAAATGGCTGGGGGTAATCTGGAAGGAATACCTTAGTGGTTATAATGATGTGACATTGCTTGCAAGATTATATTAATTGTTGCATGTGAAGTCGCACATGATGTTTCTGGGTTATTGTAGAGCTAAACGTCGCATGTATTGTGAGTTGATGTAAGCACAATCATATTATCAGTTTTTGATGCCAAGTACTTTACGAACATTTCAGTCAGTGAAAACGATCAATGTGGTGGATGTGTTGGTGTGGATGTTCCTGATCATCATGCGGAGCGTAGTCCCTGTATACTGTTCTAAATAGCGGATAAGCTTGTATGCTATATTATCAGTCAAGGGACAGATTATTTCGTCAATCGTGTTCTTTATGTGAACGCTCAAAATTTTTTGGAGACAAATAAGGTGCTTTTGTTGGTCCCGTATTTTTAGTGTTTGCAGAAGTACTACTCCTTGGAATCATCACCCATTTGTGATTATTTATGGCTTGTACTGAGTCGAGCATCAATGTGATCACATAGATTAACTACACAAGTATACACATACAGCTGAAATTTGATTACATTTCCTGATTTGATCTGTTCGTGGCGGCTATTATACGAAACTCTCATATTGCTCTACCCCAAACCCTCATATTGCGTAATTTAAATCCCTGTCCTTCCACCGTCAGCTCAAGACCCTGCAAGACAATAACAATACATACTCTGATCAACTGAAGACCATCACCGACCACATCGGTGATCTGGTCACGGGCTGTTTTGTGCATCGGTTCAGAGACGTTGCTATGGAAATACGCATTCTCGCCATCAAGGTGAGTGCTTTCGGATGTACAGTGTGTCAATGTACACGCGCATCGCGTTCCATGCAATTGTCATTTGGCTGTTACTTCAGCACACATGTGGCGTCTCGTCGTAGTTGTATTCAACTGTCAGATGGACGGTTTAATGCAGTATGGGTATGGGTATGCACACCTTGTCGCATAGCTTGTCTATTGTGGTCTATTGTGACCAACTAGCTTGCCTTCCTGGTATAAGTTCCATAAAACCAGTAACTGGATAATATATACACATCGGAACTATGACTGAAATAGACCACCTGCGAGTGATGAAATAAATAAGTTTAATCCTTTCCATATAGACATTATTTGCGAACCATTCTACATTTTGATTAAAGTTGTTTATACACTCGTATGTGATGCCCATGTTTCTATATAGCGCACTATTCCTTACGTCACATACATTGCACCTAGCCAATGTTTTTATTACCATTCACATTCGCTCACCACATACATATGCCACATACGAACCCATATGATTCATGCACACATTATTATCACACATGTACACCCATATAGCACGTGCGCATCTAATCAGTATATTACTTGTACGCTGTTCAGGCTCTCGGCAGATGGCTGGTGAATGGCAAGGATCTGTTTTTGCACGACAAGTATCTGAAATATGCAGGTAAGCAGTGGCGTAGGCACTACATAGCCAACTATCGGCGCCCACAATGTCGTAGTCGACTATTCACAGACATGCAAATAAACTTCAATACTCAGCTGTTTAGCGGATGTTATAGGTATGATTGGGTGCATGACCTGAGATGAACCTCCTTTCGTCCTGAATGAGAGTCACGCTGCTCATACTACACTCGAGGTTATGTGTACACTAATCATTCACCTTGCGCATCTTCGTAAGAGTGCTCGTATGTATTCCCGCATGAGTTTGTGCGCAAGTATTTAGAAGAATATAAATTTTAAGATTAATATTATGTGCATGCGTTCGTATACATACAATTTGTATATCATGATCTTATCGAATCGCTTTATTGAGGACCGGCTTTTACATATAAACGAGAATGCTAGCTACGTCGTGTTTTTCTTACATACATATCGTTGAGTAAGTTACAATTGCATATTGATGTGTATACGAAAGTTTCAATCTATGCCATATACAACAACTTGTGTTCGGTAAGGAAATATACGAAGGTCAAAATATCATAACTATGGCTATAAATAGCATATACATTGGACTTCATTACCTATTCGATACAATAAAATCCATAAGTACCTGAGCGCTTGTAATTATATAGTTATGTTTGCTTCATCGCACACTGCAATATTATTGCATTACATGGCTACATATATTGCATGTATATATGTGCGTATATATACTCATTAATATGTACATAGCATATATATGAGCTAAACTACTCTTTCTGATCTTCCCATTAACCCAGGCTGGCAGCTCAATGATCGCGAGCCAGAGGTGCGGTTAGCATGCGTGGTTGCGTTGAAGGGTCTGTACGCAAACGCTGAGCTGCATGGGCAGTTGGAGAGCTTCACGGAACGTTTTGCCAACCGCATGTGTCAAATGGTGGATGACATCAACCCGTCTGTGAGTTGTGAGGCCATTGAGGTCGTCTCTAAGATCCACAGGTGGGTGAGCTTTTTTATATATCTATATTGGCCTGTCATATTTTTCATTTTGCTTCACTATTTTATGTATCGACTGATCTCATTTTGACAAAGGCGCGTCTAATTCTCGCATAGTGAACTCGTATTCTCACAAGACTTATCTAACTCTCACATGTGTATAGATATTGCACACTCTAGAAATACGGGTTTTTGTTTCACACAGATGTGTGTTAGCTTATAGATGCATATATTTGATCACTCTCAGGTCCACGTATCTACTCCTTACTCATATCGTTCAGCACGATTCTGTGATACATGTTTTTCATTCTAATTTTTTAATCCCTTGTCTCTAATTTATGCGATCATTTTTTACGAGTTGAATTGCTGAATTTCTACCAAATTTTTTTTCATGTCTGAACAATTTCTTAGTTTTGGTCTGGTTAGTCCGGAGACTATCGAGAGCATCTACCGTATCATCGACAACTCAAATGCCAAACGCGTGAAGGCTGCTGGCAAGTTCGTCTTTGGTCAGAACTTCGCCGATGACTCTGAGGAATCGCTGTCTTCAGGTGAGGCCCGTATCCAATGCTTGTACTAATTCTTCTGGAGATGCTACGTGCAATGTCGTGCTTTTACAAATGTCTCGCAGAGAGCAACTCGCCCACTAACCTCGTCTTGTGCACATATACATCATTGAACTGCAATTACATACAACATATCATACTTCACAGGATACGTATATCGTTTGGTAATTTTTGCACGCATCACACGGCAGCACGCACGCCTCACCTTCGCGCACACACAATCGTGCTCGTAAATTACAACACTTTTACTAACTTCCCAAATCAGCGGCGGCGCTGGTCAAGTTCGTTCGCCTGTTCGATGAGCAACGCGATCAGATGAAAAACGAAACAAAGCTTGTGCAAGCCATGTGGTCGCTGCTGCCCTGTCTGCAGGTGAGTGTCGGACATGGGTATACAACTGCGCGTGTGCTGTAAATACTTCTGTTTGATATACACACCCGCCATATTGACCGACTTCTATCTTACACAGTACAGCTTGAATGTCTCATCACCTGTGCACTTCCTCAACAAAAACATCGAATCAGCACCCGAGTATCTTTAGCAACAACCCGGTGCCTGCACATAATAATGCACTTTCAATACCAAAAACTATCATTCTCACTGTAACTGCACAGAATTGGGATTTGTACTGCAATCTTCTGGACAAAACTGCCGCAGTCAACTCCACCAGCACTACGGAGAAGCCCAAGCGCAAAGCTAAAGGCAGCGACGAGCAATCTGTCACACTCCCCGACGAACTGGAACTATGCTTGGTATGCACAGCAGAGCGATCGCATGTCTTGTACGCGCATAGTAGGGTGCGGTTCAAGCGGACACAGCAATGGCTATTTTCTACAAACTCAATTGCTGTATATTGAGTGGTATACACAACTATTGTTGTTTGTGACAGATGCGGTGCTGGTGTCTAACGACAGCATGCGTGACAACTTTAATTTTCAGACTTATATCTACATTTAAATATGAATTGGGTTCGACACTTTCATACGGGCCAGTATATTGTTTAGTGCACTCCCAATCTAAACTTCTACTTCTTTAATTCAATGAATTTGTTGGAAGTAATGACAGCAATCCCAGCAGATGGCCTATAGTAGTTTCTTGTTGCATTTACTTTTCCCAAAAACTCGCCACGAAATCAGCCACTACACTAACCTCCACCCTTGTATTTTGAGACACATTTGGCCTCAAACCCAAACTTCCAAACATTGTACGATACAGTTGGAGGTGCTGGCCGCGGCTGTTCAACACGCCGTAGCGCCAGAATTCACCACCCCATTGTGCGGCAAGGACTGGCAGATTGGCCTGGGAGTGGGCATCATGCCACGAAAAAAAAGGTTAGATATATATTATTCTTATTCTTATTCTTATTATTATTATTATATATTATATATTATTATGATTATTATATATATTATTATTATATTTATATATATATATATATTGTTGTATTATTATTATAATTATTATATATATATATATATAATATTTATATATATATATATTATAATATTTATATATTATATATAAATATATATCGAATGTGGCTAAATTATCATTCCAGTGAAAATGTGGGAAGTGTGATTGTATACCGTGTTGTCAATTAACTTTTGTTTTGTATTTTTCATACCCTTCCGTACTTGTATAACGCTCTTTGCAACTCGTTGCACGATACACACTGTTGCATTTTCTGCAGTATTCGATGGCGATCACAATTCTGCAGAATATATAGAAATATTAGACGTGTTTTTCACAGCCTTTGAGTAAGTTGACATCATCTCGACCCACCATCGTAACACTGGTACTACAACGAGGTAGTCGATACACAAAATGACCCACCTTCCATTTCTCCCAGCTCCAACACTTCTAAGGAGAAAGAACGCCAAAGCCTCGGGCGTATGGCAGTCACGGACCGTTTCATCGGCACAGTCGGTGCTCTGTGGGAGGCACACGCAGCGCATGCCGAGCGATTGGAGTGTGTGGTACGTGTGGTGAGGTGCTTTGACCAGCCCACACTCAGCACTAGCCATCGTCCCCAGGTTACACAGCTGTGCAAGCAAATCGCAAACTCGTTTCTCAAGAGTATGTGATTGCAGGCTTATGTTTGTATAGAGGCTTGGTACTGTTTGTGTCAGATTTAATCTGTTTAGCAGAGCAAGTATCCCAAATTTTAGCAGGATCTCGGTTCATTGTATTTTTACGCACGTAACTGAGAGTTTTCAAGGCTATATATATATTTCATTCGCGCACCTCTTGACCGTTGGCGTACTTTTTTTTTTCTCGCAAGTTTTATGTTGCTCCTCGATGGGCTTGGGCATTAACATTCTGTCGCTGTGTGTGCAGATACCGTGCTTTCTTTTGCTGGTTTGTTGTGTCCGCGAGGTGGTTAGTTCCTCTCTCGAATATATGTTTTGCGGGCGCTATCGAACATTATCTGTATATGTCCGATTTAAATCACATTCCACATATGTATTTCGCTCTGCTAAATAATCACTACAACTATACTTTGCGCATTTTTAGGTGCATCGCATATTGGCCTACAGGAGAGCAGTATGGAGCTGTTGTCGTGGCTACAGCAGGACGACGCACTCAGGGACATTGTAGATTTGACCGTCACGGAACTGGCCAATGAATTGCAGGTGCGCCTTAATGCAAATACTTTGTATGCTTTACATGAACACGTTTACAAATCGTACAGGATTATATTGTACAAATTGTACAGGATTGTGTTGTACAAATCGTATAGGATTATATTGCACAAATCGTTTACAAATCGTGCAGGATTATATTGTACAAATCGTACAGGATTATATTGTACAAATTGTACATGATTATATTGTACAAATTGTACAGGATTTTGTTGTACAAATCGTATAGGATTATATTGTACAAATCGTTTGCAAATCGTACAGGATCAGATATATTTATATTTATATTTATATATATATATATATATATATATTATAGATATATATATATATACGTATATGTATAGATGCATATATGCATATTATATATGTAAATGTATGTATATATACATTCATAATTACACATATAGACCCACACATACATACATAAATACATGTTTACATACATACATACAAACGTACATGCATATATATATATATAAGTATGTATGTATGTATGTAAATGTATAAACGTATATATATATATATATATATATATATATATATATATAGTACGTGTCTACTATACTATTAATTACTTAGTTACTTACTACTTAACGTACGACTACGTACT